GTGAGGTGATTAAAGACTGGTAGAAGAAGAATTTTCCCACAATTATAAGAGTTGAGCTGACGTTTCCATTCAATTTCACATAGCCTTGCTTTCCTAAATTCAATAGAAACGTCAGCTCAACTCTTATAATTGTGGGAAAATTCTTCTTCTACCAGTCCTTAATCACCTTACACGAAATTGGGTGAATACATTTCATACTACTGATTTACTGGTAGTCACGAAAACAATACTTAATTCGAAAAATAAAGTATAGTAGTCGATTGTTATAGCAGAACATACGTTTGCTTCATGACAATTCCACATAAAAAAATATGATATGGCAAAACAAGGCCTGGATGAGAACAACTTTTGGCAAAAGCAAGGCTATGCGAAATTCAATGGAAACGTCAGCTCAACTCATATGATTGTGGGAAAATTCTTCTTCTACCAGTCCTTCATTACCTTAAACGAAATTGGCTGAATACATCTCATATTAAAAGTTAGCTAATTCCTTGCTTCGTCCCAAATAATGGTTTGCTTTCACCCTATTTCTTAGTATTTCGAAATCGTTAACAATTAATCCCAACAGATAATTATTCTCAACTAATATTTTTCTTAGGCCTTCTAACTCCTGATTCTGATGGTTTACGTGAGCTAGATGTAAGCTCGTGATTTCATTACTCCTACTTTGACGCCATTAGTAAGATTCAAGAAGAGATTAAGAAGGAAACCCGCATTTGTGGGTTTTCCATACACATTTCTACCCAATTTGTTCCCTTCTTTACTAACTGGGACATCTGAAAAGGGTACCTACTGCCCGTTCCTAACTCCATAGTGAATGTAGTCGTCTTATCTACCCTATTCATTCAAACAAGAAAGTCACCCAAACACTCGTTGCTAGTGAATATATGAAGACGAATATGTTGTGGCCTCTGTTATGGTGGCAGTCTCCTTTCGATGTATAGAAGTGGGTTGACCTCGTTGTCGCAACTTGGTCTTGTGTTCAGGGGGACTATGTAGATCGCACCTAGTCCGAAGTCTTCTGCCATAGTAGTTGTCATGGCGACTTAATAGTACTCGCCTCGGTGGTGCATCTACTAAAATTGGAACGATACAGAGTAGATTAACATGGCCACTGCGCAAGGATGACACGCAAAATGGTGAAGCCCTCCATATTTTTTGAGAATGTTTCAAGTCCACTGTCGGATGCTGGGAATCAAGACAACTACTATGGCAGACGACTT